CGCATTACGTACCTTGAGGTTGATTTCACGACGCTGGTAATAACTCAGACTACATAGCGTTATTATTGAATAATGAATTGCAGGGGATGTGAAATGAAGTCGTGGTCTAATATATAAGGCACCGTCCCTACGCAGTGAGGAAAAACACGAAAACCTCAGTCAGGATAGTCGGTCTCTGGGCTCATATTGGAAAGAGGATCTCTCGAATGTACATGAATAAAAACTGTTGAAGTAGATATAAATGTAGGAAACGGTAAAATGTTTACTGAAAGATCATCTAAAACCACACTGATTACAGTGTTTGAAATATTTCTTGCCAAGCGTCTAAATGGATTGATAATATCAGTAATATTACAGAACTGAAAGAGATTAGAATCCAAGACGTCAGTGATGTTCAAATTCATTGTTGATTCTAGAACGTGAAACGTAAAGAAGCTAATTCCTGTTGAAGATATTTGATAGAATGCCACAGAACTCGAGCTCTGTGTAGTGAAAGTGTTTGAGCATCTGGGTTTGAAGGCCGGCCTCCATCGACAGCGAACTGCCGCGAATCCAATGGCAAGTTCGCTGCGGTTCGAATGAGGCATATTGCGCAAGCGCGTACGTGTTGCTGTTACTCCCTAGACGTCGCACTTGTTAAACAATTCGCCACGGCACCATGAAAGGTGATTACGTCATACAATGAACGTAGCTGAAATGAAATTCAACAGATGACTAGGAAGGACATGGAATTGTCAGGTTATTATTTGTTACATTTCGTTAAAAGTTACAAAATTATTTATTACTCGTCAAGTCAGCGACATCAGAAAAATCTGATAGGTCTTTGATGTGCTATTGTAGTAGCAGACGTATAAGTCGCGAGATAAATTTTTGAGTTCATCACATAATTAAAGGGCTTCTAGATAGTTGTAGATATTTTCTGTTGACTGCGTATTTTTCATAAAACTAGAAGGCGGCAACACCATACACTTTGAGACGAATGAATGGGAAATAGAAAAATTGAGATACGTATTCAAGGACATACACCGGCAGTCGAATGGGGAAACAGAGCGGAGTTACAGATACCTCTGCGAAGATTGTCATTTCCGAGGCTCAGATATACTGAAGACCTCTTGAAACAAAGGTCAATTGCATTATCACTCAGGTATCCTGATAGGCGATGGATATAAAATCAACTGCATTCGATGTCGACAAATATCATTAATTTAAATCAGGATATTTTAACTAAGTAATAAAAATTAAAACTGGCCATTTCCATCCATCTTACAAGTCGCTAAGTTATTACCTACGGAAATTCTCCGGATTTTATGGAACCCCAGATCCATTACCGAGTTAATAGTTAACGAAGTGTTTCTATAGCCTATTCACTAAACGGAATATTGTCATTGGCCTTTCGAACGGAATGTTTACAGTCAACTGACTCTCTGACAGTTCATTCGTTTGGTTCTGTTAACGGATTTTTTTATTTTGTGTGACATAAAAAATGGTGCTCTGAGCTCAGAACGTCATTGGCTAAATTGCAGACTTTTGTTGTCACAAGACGAATCCTCTCCTCAATATAACCTTTATTACAAGGTATCGCAACTTTTCCACCCCTGGGCCAAAAATAGTTTTCGCGTTGAACCGTAGGGCCAAGAAACCTTCCTGGCATTACTTTTGAAAATGAATAGCAAAATTTCATTACCTTTAACGGTATTTATTTAGGAATTACAAATTACTACAGGCCTAATATAGTTTCAAATATATATTTTATTTAAATGTGTAAAATTACTACAAAGTTACATATTGTTTTAAATTTTCTCCTGAAATAACTTGCATATGACAGTTTTTCCCTGCAAAGTTTATATTTTACGGCAGGGTACTAAGTCAATAACATGTGTGGTACTTAGTCATAAAGTCGCAGGTGATATCAGCTCGTGAGTTTTAAAAAATCGAGTAAATAAAACAAATGAACATGAAACCAGAAACAAATTGACAAATAATTTCTCTGGCCTTGTTAAAATCTGAATTTGGCTGGATATGGTCCACGAGTCGTCAGTTGGACCACAAATATATATTATTATATCCAATCACAATGTCACAGTATTGTGAAACTGAATTTTTAAATGTTCCACACAGCATGACAGTGTAATCAACTGTAAAATGAATAATTCCCTTATGACAAGTAGACAAATAATTTTGTAATTCTTAACGAAACTGAATAAAAATGAATGAGTACAAGAAAGATATTCCGTGTCAGAAATGCAAAAACATTTATAATGTTAATTCGCATTCAACTTTACTTGCCTGCTTCAAGTAAAATGGTTGGGGGCAAAATTTGTAATTTATTGTTCTTTTGGATATATACCTATGCTGTGTATTCCATTTTGGACAAAATATATCTTTGAAACGTTCAAGTTATTATTAATGTCAAGGATTCTACACGAAATGGAGGTAATGATCACTCCGAAAGTACACATAGCAGCCACATTGTCATCGGTCAATATAAGAATTTTATAAAATACATAACGCTTTGGTTTAACATTCAAAAGTCCTTTAACTTCCTATATCTTTCGACAAATTTGTTAATTGTTTATCATCACACACACACATACAAACGTAGTCTGCATGTAGGCGTGGTCAATCCAGTGTCCTACTCGCCTGTCGGAAAATCACCTAAACACTCAAACAATTAGGGAATTTTTGATATATCTGACAAACGCCATTACGTTATGTGTATGTCACAATACAAAGACTGGTTAACACAAATAAGTCCTCAGTATTTGATCGTAGATACAGATCACAATTTTTGAAGCTAACTGCTTATCTGTGATAATCTAAAGATAGCTACTTTTACTTCCTGCGTAAAGGAGCAAAAACATTTATACACAGTATTTCACAAAGCTGTGACATGACACATTCATGAAACGTGAACCACGTTCTCTGGTTCACATTCCTTTCCTTTTTTTATTAACGTCGCTTTAGTAATTTTTGTAACTTAATTTCTCTCGAAGAGTAATTCCCTGTTTCACCGCTTCGCTTGGACAGCGCTGTGGACTGCGGCTAAGCAGTGATACACTCTCCTACATCACAATTGTACGTGATTATACGTAATAAAGCATTCCACAATACGTTCATTATTAAGTAACAGATATTTTGGTAGTGTGGGGTAACAGTAAAGTTAATAAAAAATATTAAGAATCAGTACTTTCCCCAGCAAGAAGTGTTTGTGGTATAAAAATAAAGCCTCCGTCCTAGAGATCAGTCAGTCACATACAGTCAGTGTATTATCACACACAGCAAGAAACAGGAAGCTACCATGCAGATCCCTTGTGTAAGTTGCAGCTGTGGTCATTTTTGGAGACAACAAACAGTAAACCGAACGCGGCCGTCCAACTTGGATTAAATCATACACATTAAAATAAAAGCGATCACTTGTGTGTCAAATGGGCTGAAAATTCGATTCTTCCAAACACGAAAATACCGCTGTTGTTTAAAAATTTGATAGACTCAGGCCTAGATTGAAAGACGACATTAAAATGGGCCTAGAATAAATCGGGTTACAGGGATTGTATTTGTCTGTCTCATGGTAATGCCCAGTCGTAGGTTAACGTGAACACAGTGATGAACTTTCGTGTTCCACATAAGGCAGTGAAACATAATCAACAAACTGATTGTTGTAATGATAAAGTGTTGTGTTCTTCTTTTTTGAAGTACGATGATAAATTCTTAAATATTATTTATAGGCGCTTCGGGCTTCACAGCGTTGACAAACATTTAGCCTTTTCGTTCAATGTTTTATAAACCCTGAATTTAAAATGCCGCTGTTATACAGAATATGTACAAAAGAACGTCCTCAAAATTATGCAAAAAATAATGCAGTTTACTCAGAACTTCACACCTGCACCAGTCGATAGAAAACTTTCAAAGTTCTGTACATACCTCACGGAGACTCGATATGCGTGCTTCGCCAGTAACACGGCAGATGTCGATACGATAATCCAACTCGTCCCAAACTTGGTGCTGAGTGTCCCTAGTGATTGAAGCTATGGCAGTTGTGATTCGCTGCATCAATTGTGGCAAAGGTTGCGGTGTAAATACATACCCAACATGGCACAGGTTTTTCAGTCTGTCTTCGCTAACTGCAAAACACAACTCCGCTTTTGCATGGTGGCCATTTTCAAAACTAGAGGCATCTAGCAGAGGCGCGCAACAACAACATCCACCCGAATCATTGGAAATAAAATTTCGATAGTTTTTCTGATGATTGGTGTGGATGTGAATTTATATTTACACCGAATTTGTTTTCTGTGTTATTTTGGAAATGTTAAGTACTTTTGTGCACATCCTGAAATAAACTGCGAATCATTACATTAACAATTTAAATTAAAATATTCCACATTAATATTAAATCCGATTCTCAACAGACTGTTCTCGTATCCACGCTGTTTGCTGTGGCAGCACATGCTGGCTACCTGGGAGTCCCCGCTCACCATGCACTGGATTATTACGTGAGTACTGAAATTCCTGATAATTCCCAACGTTGGATTGCGAGAACATTTTGTCGTAACTGATATCAAATGCATATGGATAATACACAAATAGAAGGACCGCTATTTTAAAACTGTTTTATCATGTGCAAACCGAATTTCAGTACCTATAGCTCTTCGTGAAAACCATCACGTCCTAGATTGCCTTGGTTCGCATCTCATTATTTTGGCACGACTATTTCGTGAAGTTTAGCGTGTCCATCCGCTTGTATTTTTGCTTTGTGCTATGATTATATCGAAAAGTTAAATTTTCACCTGAACATATTAACCGCATAGAGGATTGAACTATACACCTCAATAAAAAATATAGCAATGTTACAAAACGTTATAAGAACCTGAAAGATTACAATCCGAATAATATGAAGGGTCAAGTGCATGTGTTGCACAAATTTACCGTATTTCATCGATTTTAAGACCCCATTAATTGTTAATTATAAATGTAATAATTGTTAGTAATATGTTTTCAGGGAGAGAGAAGCTATGTCGATTCTCAGACGCCATCAAACGTAAGACGCAGTCCGATTTCAGAAATTTTATAAATTATAAAGAAATGTTTAAATTTAATTTAAAGTATTCTAGCATCGTACGTTAACGAATACTTAGTAATTGTAGAAAAGTTTGTTAGTTGTAATCTGTAATGGACTACTTCTCTCGAAACAATTTACAGCAGATGAAATATAACATGAAATAAATAATATACTAAGTGAATTATTTTATTTGTAAATAATAGTTCCGTGAAGGAGGCAACTGGCGAACGTTTAGAATTTTTCGTTTGTATTTCTCACGCATCAAAGTCTCTCAAAGAAGAATATGTAAAGCTAAATTTTTATTATAAAGTGCAATTGTGCGAAGAAGAAATATATATTTTATAAATCATATATTCACCACTATTATCTGTCAGAGTCTTGCAACTTAAGCGCAATTTTCACAGGATCATATTCCTCGTGAATATGGCGAATTCTAATTTTTGTGTGTGGGGGATTCCCTGGAGTCGGTATGAACATCGCAGTTTTTTTAAACAGAACGAAGCCACTTGCTTGATAAGTTGTTTTCTTACGATGAACAAACCTTCACTAACACCGGATACGAATCTCAATTGGATGAGGACATCTACATCAGGCGGCCGGACATTCCAAGACATATGATGAAACAACTTTAAGGACACACTAATTTTCTGTAACCTTAACATTTATACAGCTATAATATTTTACCTTCAAACGCGTCAGTACCATAGTAGCAAATTATTTTTCGCTCTCGCAGGCTTACCCCAAATACTCTTTCGACTACGCAGTGAAGGACGCTCACACAGGCGACGCCAAGAGCCAGTGGGAAACGCGAGACGGCGACGTGGTTAAGGGAGAGTACAGCCTCGTGGAGCCGGATGGATCTGTGAGAATCGTGGAGTATTCCTCGGATAAGCACAACGGATTCAACGCCATCGTAAAAAAGGTACATGGCTTGCCACGGCTAATGTGCGCGTAAACACAAGGAGAACCCCTTGAAGCACGAACGTACTTCTTTATTTTCTGACAGGCAGCTTGTAATGACAAGTAATTTGATGACCTCCGCTACAGGGGTATGCATTTAAATCTAGAGAGCTGCATGAAAATCCTGCAATAGCAACTTCATCTAAGTAATATTACAAATCAAGTTCCTACCTCAAAGAAAATATAATGCAACTCTGTTACAAATATCACATTGTAACTGTTGTTTAGAAAATGCCTAGTGTATATTTTGATATTCTTAGGAACCCACAAACAGGAAAATGTAAACAAAATGCATAGTTGCGGAAAGTGGTTCATATAGTGGCCACCATGCATGAGACACAGAAGAAAAAGGATAAATCCGAAGATTGAAACGACAGTAAATCTTATTACTTATAAAAAAATTTCTCTGATGGTCGCACATTTGATTCGATGTTCTGTTACGCAGATATCAGAATGCGTATGCTAGGTGCTTATTAAATAGGCTTTACTCAGTCATATATATCACAAACTTTCGTGTAAAAGTAAACTTGAATGAATTTAACTAAGAGAAAGAAGATGTCTGTCTTCTGGGTTCTTGCGCTGTATAATCTGGTTGAAGTTTACCGACGTTTTGCTACTAAGTAAACAGTGCATTTGCGTGCATATCAATAAACATTTAATTTTTATACATTTTCCTCCCTTCAACACATTTCAAATAATAAATTTCTGTTGTTTCTAAGTTAAAATAAAATTTACTAAGGAGTATAATAAGACGTTAAGTATACCGATCGACGTTATCGATAAACCACTGAATTTTATTAAAATACTGATATTTTTAAAATTACGCTGGGCGACAAACCAGAAACACGATCCGCTTAACCACTGAGTTACCGGAAAACTTTTAACGACAGGCATTCTAACAGATGAATGCCCGAAAATGCGAGCATCTAATGCTCACTGCATCTCCAATAATGTTACATGGTAACGGAGTTAAAATAATTTTACTTAATCAGTAATTGTATGATACAGTATTGCTTTATTTGCAGCTACACTTTTATCGGTTCAGTTTTCAGCGGTCATTACGTTAGTACAATACAATAGCGAGGTCTGCCTTGTATGAAGTGAATGTAAGTTATTTTAGATAACGAACTAGATTAACTGTTTTCGCTGAACGTTTGTTTTCACACAGTCTTGTATTTCCGCATAAGCGGCTTTGTGTAATAATCTGTCGAAAAATTTACGTTACGTTAATTGGGCTATAATAACAACAGGATATGAAAGTGTGTAGTTGTAGACTTTAAACATTAAGCATATAATACTGCTATGCTGGATATAATAGGAGTTTTGTTTATTGACTTTGCATTCAATTGCGTACGTCTCTCTAGAATGCAGAGTAATTCAATTTGAAAGCACCGTTCACTTGTTTAAGAAGTAACAAGCAGCGAAACATATTTGGACGATGACAGCAGAATTACTTTCCTTCGCCAGTAAATACACCCATGGAAATTATCCATCTTAATATTTGCCCATTCGCCATAATAAAATCGACTAAACACATTAAATAATATAAATATACTTAAAAATTCTTTACGAAATCACGTCTTGAGCTAAGGAAATTTCTGAACGACGGCTCGTAGGAATATTTGAAATCTCCTTCAGATTTTAGTAATTAGATTTCCATTCTGTTTCAAATCATAATTGGTTTTAAAACTCTTAATCCTACATATATTTGATTGGTCTCCTCGGACTAGAAGAAGTCAACACAATACCACGGACAGGTGCAAAACCGTGGTCTCATTATTCTTATTATTTTCAAAGCTCCAAGCAACTTTTACCTCAACGGTAGACAAAAAAATTATTTGCGATTATTTGAGAAGTATTTATTTTAGTAATTATTGTTCTGGATTAAAGATTCCAGATAGAGGTAAGACGTTAGTTTGACGATCCGGAAATTTTAACTCTGGGGATTTTAGCTCTGTATCCATCTCGAAGGAGAATGTGTGGGGTGAGGTTCTGAGACTTTACGGACGTGAGAGTGAACAGAACACAGACCCTTTGCTGCGCAATTGAAACTTTCTTTCGTGACAATCCTATCACGTCTGTTTTCAAGCTCTCTAAAGAAGAACAAAGAATTTTATAAAGCAATGAATCAGCGAGAAACCTTTGTCATTTTTCAGCACTTCCTGTGAATGATTGGTTACAATTGTACTGTAATTCATGTCTTTCACTTATGAGTCTGATTTCCTCTTAAAATGAAGCCGATACAAATGGGACCTAATTTAAATAAAATTTAATGTTTCTTGAATCTTGAAATTTATCATGCACGGAGAAAATAGGAAATGATTAATGAATTAGTTTAGAAGTACTTTAATATAAAGTATGTATACAAACAAAACTGTTTACACTTTGTTTTTGCCACTGATAATGACCTCTTGAGGTCGAAAAGCGTTTGGCATTAGTGTCCTTAAGTGTAAACAGTTTTGTTTGTATACATACTTTATATTTCAATACACTACACGGTATGCAAAGTTTTAAGATTAGAAGTACTTAGTTTGAGGGAGATCGCGGAGAATAAGATAGGCTGGGTTTGTCATAATCGTGATGGAAATGAAAAATGTATGCACAATTTCAATCTTGAAATCGAAGAGAAAATACGACTTGTGAAAACTAGTTATAGGTGGAATGATAACAGTAGAGCAAATGAGGTGCAAGGATGTGGATTGAATTCGATTGGTTCTATTTAAAATATAATACAGGAAAGTATGTCTTTAATGTGGGTCAGTTTTAGGACGATTAGCGCAAAGTCAAAAATGAAGAGTTGTGACGTGTACGTTGTGTTGTTTCATATTTTATCGTTGCAGGTCGGACATGCTTCTCATCCCAGTACCTTGGCGGCAGCACCGTTTGGTCACAACCACGGAGGCTATTCAAGCGGCGGCGCTTTCGGATACTACGGCTAATACCGGAACTAAGTTACTTTCACGTTCAACACTTTTTCATAACTTCCTTTTCCCCAAATGGTATTTGTGTATTGCCTATTTCGTTCACTCCTGAGTTAAATTTTAAGTAATATACATATTTATTAATGTTTTTAATGTCAAATGTTGCTCTTTTTAAAGTATTTGTGCACACATCTTGAATTGTTTTATCGTTTGAATAAACATTATCTTATAAACAGATTCTATTTCTTTTTCATTGTTTTCGCTAGGCCCGATATCTAGCTGTCATTCTGTGTTTGAATAACCTTAAACTGTCAACAAGTCTACAGAAAGCAGCACCTAGTTCGACAATGAACTATTGTTGCGAAGATAAAAAGCAATGAGCAAGAAGCAGGTATTTGCTTCCCAGCGCACATGTACTGTCTCATGCATGACTCTACTGTGAAGACTTAAATAAAAGGAAGATAGGATTTGAGGTTCTCGCGGCGGTGAGTATGAAAATGGCTGTCTTCTGTGTCGTAGCTCCATCGTTCTTCACCTCGACACTAGATGGAGTAAGTGATCAGCCTCACGTCCCAGCTGCTCTTTACCCACGGGTACCCACTGGATAGGAATATAGACTGAGAGGTTAATAACAACGCGATGATATTTTCACAAAACTTTCGAGCGGTTTCCAGATTATTTGACAAAAGAATTAACAACCAACTATAGCCATAAGGCAAAGTATTCCATAAGAATCTGATATTCACAATAACAAGTGACTTGGTTTTTATGTGACTCGAAGTCTCATTACCTTGTTCATAAAAGCCCTTTATTAAATCGTACTTTGAGACATACTTAGGCATATGCATAAATACATACATATTTGTTCCATATGTGCGTGCTTGCAACCGTGCATACATATACAAACATGTATATATACACATCCATAAACACATAACCTACATTCTGAACAGGTTACAACGAGAGAAATGGTGTTCTAATTAAAACCAGCGATCAGCTGTGTTGTGGTATTTAGTGGTTTTCTTACGGCTGTCAAAGCGAATGCTAATGCAACAAAAATGACCTTCATTCGTTCCTGCTTCACATGAATTCTACTCTTTGATGCTAGTTACTTAATTTTGTGTGCTATGAAATGTTCCACAGGCTCAAGTTCCCTTTGCCGGTAATGATTTCGAGGGTTCTATATCTTTGTTTCTAGCTCACGATTTATAACCGGTACAGACTGTCCTTGCACTCGGATTGTCCGTCATAATAGTGAGAATAACAGAATCACAAGTTCACACGAGTCCCCGTGGCAAGGTCGACAGGTAGTACCCGATAGTAGGAGTAATGCCATACGTTTTAAAAGTATTCCAGTAATTGTGTTAGAATGATGGCGGCGTGAGGAAGTCGCGAATCTGACTGGAGAATTTAATCTTGTGATGTCTAACACCGTCACAGCGGAACCTGTATTGTAGGATTGACCTTCGAAAGGGTTTGTTGTATACAAATTGTAGTAATTAATATATTTATTTTATAAGTGCGTATAACTAATTTAACTGGATAAAATACAGAATGAGAGATTAATAAATTGTGCTCTTCACGTATTATTTGGGTTTTAAATTAAGAGTGGTGCAGTTTGAAGGGCATGTACTATGTGTAGAAGACACTAGAAATGCACACAAAGATTCGTTTGGGAAGTATGAAGAGAAACTACCACTTGATAAACCTAAACGTGGATTACAGTTTAATATCAAATTGGATTTAAAAAAATGGGAAAAGGTGATGTGAACTGGATTTATCTGATTAGTGATGTGGTGTTGTGAAGACGACCATGATTCATAAATAGCGGTGAATTTCTTGTTTAGTTGAGCGACTGTTGACTTCTCAAGAAGGCCTCTGATTTTTGTAATTATTAAAACTTACAAAGATTTTCTTTTTGTCTTGAAATGTCCGCTATTCCACGTTATAGAATCTAAGAATTCCTGAGTTTCGTAAGGAGATGCGGAGTTTAGAAACTAGCGATTGACACACATGAAGAATTTTTTCTGATTTGATGATTGTGAACATGGACAGATGGACGACGTATTAAAGGATTAACTGGTTATTTTGCTCTACTTTTAAACATATAAGCTTATACCACTGTGTGTTTATAAGTAGTTACACACATGTGAGTAATTAAAAATTTAGAACAATTATACCTAAATTATATCAAGACCTAAACGAACAGTTGAAGCTTCATTTTCTTTCCTTCTGCATCAGCTATATTTGCAGACGTTATCAGGATCATTTGAACTGATTTTAATTTAATTATTATTTTACTTAACCATAACATTTAGCTCATTTCCTTATTAATTATTTTGCAATAAATTAATATGATACATTTATATATTTAGTTTCATTTGTTTGATTTTGTATTTGTAAAGTTTTACTTTTATTATTATCGAAATGAATGTAATTATTGTATTATATTTCATCTTGTACTGTTGTTCAGTGCTTGACTGTTATTGGCCTTATCTGGCTGTTGTCAAGCACTTAAATAAATGAATTGAATTGAATTGAATTGAATCAATGTCCCTTCAAGCACCTGTCCACATAAGAGCTCCTAAAAATAATATTAACATTTTAAAGCTAAATGGTTGCCTAGTTATATGCATTATCTGATTTGAAATCCAATAAATTTTAATTTTGTAATTATGCAATTTATGTGTTTCCTTAAACGACATTAAATAACTGCTCTTTGTAATGGTGAAGTGTTGTGTTTTCTTTGCGGTACGGAGTGAATTAAAAAAGTGGTTGAAGAAACCTGAAGGGATTACCTGCCTACATGCAGATGGAGGATATTAAAATAGATCTCGGAGAAACAAGTTGTAGGGGTGTGGACTGGACAGATCTGGCGCAGTGAAGGGGTGAGGGGCAGTATTTATGAACACAACAATGAATCTTCCGATTTCTTACGTGGTGGGAAATTTCTTTATTAGCTACACGACTATTACCTTATAAACAACAAATCTCTTTTATAGTGTTATTATTATTATTATTGTTCTGTCTGACGACAGGTCCATATGAACAGGATCCTTCCATCCTTTTCTCGGCCTGGGACCTGTTCATATACGTTCTTGGCAGATGATCCAGAAGTGGTTTGCCATTGCCTTCTTCTGTGTGTGAATGGAGTAATTGTTGGGATGCCACGGAAAAACCGGGGAAGCCCCCAGAGGAAAACTCCGTGTTGCCTAGACCACGGCCTTGCCCAACACAAGTTATAAATTCGGGTACCGCCGGGAATCGAACCTGAGACCCCCAGGATTACAAGGCCAGCGTTCTATCCGCTAGACCACCGTGGCTACATTTTATAGAGTACGTTAATTAAATTCAATCAGATCGCCTTTTATTATACTTTAATAAGGGAGAACGGACATAACTTTTTCCCTGGTGCAAAGTATGCCCGAAATGTATAAAATCAGATCATAAATAAAATTGATATTTTCTTTAGAAAACATGCCTACATTTGTGAGAGATGTGAATTATTTTTAGAGCTTTGGATACAGGCCAAAATAAAGATGTATTCCCAGCAGAAGGTGAATCTGCCACTGTTCTCAGAGCCGATAATAAACAAAAATGTGATTACTTGCTACCTCCTTAATCAGAGCTGTTATCAAGGCGATTGCCATGACAATTTAGACAGCAAGCACATCTGAAACGTCGGTAAAATTCAACCAGACTACACGGCACAACAACCCAGAAGACCGTCATCTCAGTCCTTCAAATGGTGGATCTAAGAACAGATAGAAGAAGGCTCCACTACGAGAGTAGACCTATATCGATCGCGAACACGAAGAAAATGACAAAACAAGGTTGTGTAGCAAGTATGATAAGATTTTGGATAACATTATGGTTTTACAGTGTTCCTCAAAGCAAACATATATGTACCTGCGACCACATGTTGTTGCCAGAAGAAACGATCTTGGTGAAAGTTACGCTATCGAAAGCCAACGAACCGAACCACTGCAGTCAGTTGTTTTTTCACAAACAGTAATGCGCGCGCAGTGCACCTTTTCAAAGCGCTATAACAATTTTACCTAAATGGACGTTGTTTAAGAAATTTAATAACAGTGGCCTATGTTTTTCGTGACTGTGGCACTGGATCCTCACAATAAGCGAAGAACATGGAATGAGGGTGTTTGAGAACGCAATTTTAGAAAAGAAGACTTAGACCGGAAAGAGAGGAACGATTTCTGTGGTGATTGGTCAATACAAAATATCGCCAAATTTTGTAATTTTGATGTAAGTACTTGTGATGTGTGTGATTTCAGGTTCTCACAGACCCTAGAACGAAGTTAGCTTATCTGTGGAATGTTATAGATGCCACCATCGTCTTAGAAGTATAATTCAGGACGATGAATAAAGATCGCTCTGATGTCTAAGGCAGTAATTACCTCTGAAAAGTCCGTAAACTTCTACGAGACTGTACAGCGCAACAACCCAGAAGAGAGCCATCTTGAAGAACGATCAGTGAGTAAATATTAGGCGCCCTTTGGCTCGGTCAACCAAAAAATACAATTAATGCCAGGAGAATGTTATGTGCCTGATAATTGCAATTTTCAGGACAGCCTCCTGAAATGTTATCAGTTTGGAGTTCCTACGTTTTGACGAATAACCACAGATACGCAGATCTACTCTTTACAAAATATTACTCGCTTAATCGAACAAACAAGGGTGAAGTGGGCGTAGCATGCAGCGTGCATGGGGGAATTAAACATTGCGTATACAATTTCAGTTGGCAAACTAAATGGATAAACATATTTTGGAGATGAGTCACTGTGAAGAATACTAAAATGGATCAGAGGGAAATGTGTGAAGATGTGGAAAAAAATCATCTGGCTCTAGATTCTGAACAGTGGTGGGTTATTGTGAATATGGCAATGAAGTTTCGTGTTCTGTAAGACTAAGAATTTCTTGACCAGATGTTTGTCAGTTGCCGTCTCTAGATGGACTCCGTCTGCCCAGTCGACTGAGAACAGAATATCTGAGTAGTTTATAACGCATGTAGCTGTTATTCCAATGGGATAGATTTTCGTTCAAAGTTCGTCACGTGACTGACGGGTTCAGTTGCATGGAAACATCCGTGACTGCTGTCAGCCCAGAAAGTACATTAAGACACGTAACAAGTGGCTTTCGGCGTGCTGCTAACCCATCTCCACACACGTTCGCTTTCTGTTACGTTTCCAGTCATGTGACGCATGTACTCGTTCGAATCC